TGAGAGAAAAATATGGTTTCGGCTGGAAAAAAAAACGAACAAGCTGAATATGGGTAAGCCGAACGAGGCCAATTTCGTTCAGTGTTCCTGTGTACATGTGTAATGATGTGCAATGATTCAGTGCTGTGCGTTTGCTTCTCTAGGTTTGTACGCCTGTACCAATGTACCCACTTCAACGTTCATTGCAAGGTCTTGTTTGATAGTAGTATTGCAGTTGCTTTTTCTGGTGTTCGTTTCACTTTGGTGGGTGAGCAAACAGTTAGGCCTCGTCCTGAACTGGAGGTCTGGAGCATATGACTGGGGTTATTGCCACCTGACTAACAGTGTAACAAAGGCCCCGTTTGGCCCAGCTCCGGCTCCGGCTGCCGAATCACCGTAGCTGCACTATTTACCGAAGTTATTTTTCTCTCTCCTCCTTTACTCACTGACACCACCGAAGCTGGAAAAGCTTTTTTTTTCTCCCGAGACTCTGGCTACAGTGTCGCTTCAGCAGTCTGGAGCACGCGGGAGCCCGGCCAAACAGGGCCGACGACCCACGACCGTGCTATCGCCAAAGTGCGTGGATCCTCACTCACTTCACAATTTCACATGACATCTCTAGGCTCTACCGAGCTCGTGCTCGTACTGGCACGAGCAACAGCCTGGACAGTGCTGGTCAACAGGAAGGAAAATCGGCGAAGAGTGATTACTAAACTCAGGCGATGACAATGCCATTGCCAGTTTTTGGCACACTTTAAAGGTGCCAGGCACAGCCACCGGCTTTGAGTCTATCTCACCGTGGGATTGGCATGACTCTTTAGAGCCAGGTCAATAATAAAACTAAGTACTTAGCTATAAGTAAAATTATAAGAATTAAGCTATGTAATACTTAGTCTTTTATTTGTCTATAAAATTTCTTTATTAGTATATGTTTATATTTTCTTTCATATTTGTCCTCACATGCCTCTATATTGAGACCCATTAGTGTCTATGCTTCCGTGTCCAGTTTAATGCTCGTATGATTCTTTCTCCTTCCTTCTTTCTTCCATGTAAAAAAAAAGAAGATTGGCTTTGTATAAACCAATTGTTGTACCTCTCTTTGTGTCTGTTTGGGAGCTGATAACTAGATCCGGTTTATAGGAGAGTACTACTCCGTATGTGTGTACTTGCGCAGCAGCGATAAGCTTAGGATGGCCTACGGTGGAGTGGACACTGGGGTGGAATTTTGTCTTATTTAATAAATATTGGAGCACTGATTTCCAACTAAACTATGCAATTAGTGTGGCAGCTGCAGGGAGAAAAAACTTTGGAATTTTGAGGTTATCTGGAGCTGGGATTGGAATTGAATTGGAGCATCTTGTTTAGATGGAGGAAGCCTGGAGCTGGGATTAATAGACCTTGTTTAGATTGAAAATTTTTATAACATGGATACTGTAGTACGTATTGTTTGTATTTGACAAACTTTTATCTAATTATAAATTAACTAGGCTTAAAAGATCCGTCTCGTGATTTACAACCAAACTATGTAATTAGTTTTTTTTTTACCTACATTTAATACTCCATACATACGTCCAAAAATTGATGTGATGAAAAGAAAATGAAAAAACTTAGAATTTAGAGATGATCTAAACAAGCCCTAGTACCCGAACCGGCGCCCTCCCCGTGCCCATGCCTATGCCCATGCCCATGCTCTTGTCCTACTGTTGCCTTTGACAGCGCCTGCTCAAGGAAATTCACGGCCGGCCGGAGGGGACGCAGAGCAAGAGCAGGCACCCGTTCGTGTTCCCATGCCGCCAGTGTCAGCAAGCTCTCGCTCGATCTCGATCACTCGATGGACGATGGCATAATGGCAATGATGCGTGCGTGCAGCGTTTCCGTACCTCTGCTTCTTCTCTGGACGACCGGCCGGGTTGGTTCATCATGGCCACCATTATTTACCACTGGCTGCGAGTGCGACGCCACTGTTGCATTAACTGGCATTTAACACATGCTGAGAGATGTGTCTGTCCCTGTGCGTACGGTGCTCCGTCATGACTCTCGTGTCAAGAGGTACTACTCCTACTCGAGTGCACACAAACCACTGTCATTTGTCAATGATGCCCGCCCCTAAGAATCCGAATCCTGTAATCCGTACGGAACAGTGCATTTGATGCATGCAACTATCCTTAAACTTACAACTAACGCTAACTAATACTGTATCGTTCGCATCGGTACGTCCTCCGGTCATGGCTCTATCGTCGAGAGCTACTACTACAGTCTACAGTACTACAATTTTCCGAATCAGGATGTAACCGTATTCCTAATCAAACTCTGTAACGACGTTTTACTAAAGTTTATAGTATGAATGAGCAGATGGGAAGCTATATTTATGTTTAACAATGTGTTAATGCAGTTCAGACTTGAGAGGCTGGAGGCTACGAAGAGCGAAGAAGAGCAGCACCTACTCCGTACTAGGTACTCGTCTGCGTAGGAGTACACGCGTCGTGTGCAAGCTTGCGCAGACGAGGCCCGAGAGTGGTAGGGCTGCTGGCACAGGCAGCAGGGGGTCGTGGAAGACAACTGGCTCTGGGCGCTCTGCGCCATGGATGATGGATGTGGTCACGTGGATCACACTATCGAGTGCCATGGCATGGCAGTGGCAAGTCTCGTCGGATGGGGGCCGGGCCGGGCCGGGCCAAGCAAGTCCGTCCGTGCAGCCACGGGACGCCTTCCGTACGGCACGTCCCCCCTCGGCCTTGTTGTCCTTCCTCGCGCGGGGAGACGCCGGGGTCAGCAGGCTGGGCAGGCACGTCTGTCTGCGCCTCTGCCCGCCTGAGCTGGCGAGCAGGCCGTGGCCGAGATAACCGCCGACTTGTCACATTTCGAACCTGTTTCGACTGATTTAACAGTGTTTTGTGAGACAATAGCCGGGCCTTGTTTAGATGTCAAATTTTTGGTAAAATTGCACCGTGGTAGTTTTCATTGTTATTTGGTAATTAGTGTCTAATTATAGTTTAATTAGGCTTAAAAGATTCGTCTCGTGGATTTCGTCTAAACTGTGTAATTAGTTTTATTTTTTATTTATATTTAATGCTTCATGCATGCGTCGAAAGATTTGATGTGACGGGGAATCTTGAAAAATTTTGCCTAATTTTTTTTGGTTTGGGTACCGGTTGGCTACTGTAGCACTTTCGTTTGTATTTGTTAATTAATGTCTAATTATGGACTAATTAGGTTCGAAAGTTTCGTCTCGTGATTTCTTATCCAACTGTGTAATTAGTTTTTTTTTTTATCTATATTTAATACTCCATACATATGCCGTAAAATTTGATGTGATATTTTGGGATGAAAATTTTTGGAATCTAAACAGACAGTAAACTGGACCCAAGGAGAACAGGGGGCGCCATGGCTTGTCGCGTTGCTGCTGTACCTGCGTGTGGTACGGTGCACTAGGGGGGCGCCATGGCTTATCGAGTACGAGAAAGACAGCACACGAGCAGCTGTGAGAACAGGCTGAAACAAGGCCACGTTTGGATTTGATAATAATTATCCAACTGTTGATTAATTAGGCTCCAAACTTTGGAGTGGCAAAATTTCTATAGCGATACTGTAGTATTTCATTTGTACTTGATAATAATTGTTCAATTGTTGATTAATTAGGCTCAAAACGTTCGTCTCGCAAAGTACAACCAAACTGTGCAATTAGTTTTGATTTTATCTACATCTAGTACTTCATGTATGTACCGTAAATTTAATGTGACAGAAAATTTGTTTTTACATAATGTATTTTTCAGAAGTTTTGGAGTAACTAAACATGGCCCAAGCTGTACGAGAACAAGCTGTGAGCTGAGAACAGACTAGACAAGCTGAAATAAACTGATTTAATAGTGTTCTGTCAGAGCACATGAGAGCAACTCCAGTCCTGGGAGTTGAGACGCGATCGAGGCCTAGTTAAGTTGACGAAATTTTTTAAAAAATGGTACTATAACTCTTTCATTGTTATTTAATAATTAGTATCTAATCATAGTATAATTAAGTTTAAAAGATTTATCTCGTAAATTTTGTTCGTGTAATTAGTTTTATTTTTTATTTATATTTAATGCTTCATACATGCGTCTAAAAATTTGATGTGACAGAAATCTAAAATTTGCAAAATTTTGATAACTAAACCGGCACCGACTAATTCGAGTTGCATATAGGCCTGTGTAAAATCAACGAGTCAGAGAGTCAGCAAATGAATCGGTGCAGCTGTACTGCATTGTTTAGATTAAGGTTAGGAACCAGTACTTGACACTGTAGTACTTTCGTTTATATTTAATAATTATTGTTTAATTATATCCTCACTAGACTCAAAAAATTCATCTCGTAATAAAATTCGTCTCGTAATATACGATCAAATTATGTAATTAATTATTATTTTTATCTATATTTAATATTTTATATATGTGTCTGAAGATTTGATGTGATAGAAAGAAAGTGAAAAAACTTGCAAATCTAAACCAGACCTGTAACATGGACTGAGGAAAGAGCCGCTCTCTAGGCAATCGAAACGCTCCGATAATGAAGGATTCCAAGGACTCAGTACGAGAAAGACAGCACACGAGCAGCTAACTCTGGGCATAATTGACCCAAGATCGAACCGAACTAATTGGGACTAGACTGAAGTGACTAAGATTTGAGGTTGCGGCCACTAGTTCGGTCCCTGAGTCCATGCTATCCAAACTTTTTACTTTTACGGTAAGTTCGGTTATATACCTTAGGTAACCGAATTGACGTTGTATTTGGTTTTTATTGACATAAAGTGTACTTTAAACTATTATTAATAATATAATATTTATTCTAGTAGTTTTCATTACGAACGAAATGGATATGTACAATGTGAGCACGACACGAGAAACCGGACACCGGACACCAACAAGGCAACACCACCACCACCACCGACTCGAGTCTCGACTGAGTCTCGAGTCGGCCATCGCTGGAATTTTCCTTCCACTCTGTCTCCACTCCCACGACCCACGCCGCTCGACTCGACTAGTACACGTCTACACGAGCGGCGTGGAGCACTGCGCCGTGGCGGGGTCCCACATGGCGGGCAGCAGGAACCTGCGCCCAGCCACCCCGACGGCGTTGTAGCTAGCGCCCGTGGCGGCGTCCACGCGCATCTGGCCCGGGTAACCCGGGTACGCGCCGGCGCCGAACACGCCCGCGCACGCCGACACAGCCTCCAGCGGCGCCTCCGCGGGGCCCTGGAAGAACCCGCCGCCGTACGGGTTGGTCACCGCACCCGCCAGCAGCGTCGCCAGCGTGATCACTGCGCCGTCCATCCCCACGTCCGCGTTCGGGGACACCAGCGGCGCCGGCTGCTGCGGGCCGTACGGAGGCTGGTGGAACGGCCACGCGCACTCCCCCGGGCACTGCTCCGCCGGGTTGCCCACCCACGCGTACGCGAACCGCCCGCGTCCCCCGTGGCCACTGCTGGCGGGCGACGGGGTGCTCGCCGACGCGTGCAGGCCGCAGCGGGAGAGGCAGAACCCGTCCACCAGCACGTCCGGCGCCGTCACCACCACGGCCACGGTGCTGCGGTGCGGGCCCAGGCGCGATGCCAGGGACGCCAGTGACGACTCCGAGAGGCGCCGGCCCAGGGACAGCGACGTGTCCAGCACCTGGCGACCCAGCGACAGCCGCGCCGCGCCTGGGTGGTAGCGCGCCGTGGTGGCCCACCACGCCGCCACGGACGGCGCGGCCGAGCCGGAGGCCGACCCAGACGCCGTCCCTGACCCCGAAGGGGAAAGGGAGAGGATGAAGTCGGCCACCACGGCGCGCTGCGCCGGCGTGAAGCGCCCGTACCAGAGCAGGTTGACGGAGTAGTTGCCCGTCAGCAGCTGCCCGTGGTGATTGGTGAGCGTCACGGGCGGCTGGCTCACGAGGAACAGCTGCCGCGGGGTGGCCGCGCCGGCTCCGGTGGCGGCGGCCGCGGCCGCGGCTAGGAGGAGGAGGAAGGGGACGAGGCTGTGGGGCATGGCTGTCATGGATAGCTTTGGTTGGATGAGATGGTAGGGAGGGAGGGACGGACCCTGGCAAGCGGCCGTGACTGGCCGAGGGGTTTTATAGGGGTTTACGGAGGGGAGTAGGAGGACGGAGGGCCCGGGCCAGGCCGATGTGGATGTGGCGGGGCGGAAGGAGGACGGAGGGCTTGGGTGGGCGTGGTCCACTGGGCCGGGCGCGACTTTTCACGGCTTTTGTTCTCCCGTGTTTAGGCTGGTTTAGATTACCTCAAAATTTTAAGTTTTTTCACTCTCTCTTAATCACATTAATTTTTGATATATACATAGAATATTAAATATAGGTAAAAAAAAATAACTAATTACATAGTTTGGTTATAAATCACGAGACGAATCTTTTGAGCTTAGTTAGTCCATGATCGAACAAAATTTGTCAAATACAAACGAAACGTGCTACAGTGTCCAGATTATAAAAATTTGCAATCTAAACAAAGCCTTAGTTGAGTTTTAAGTTTGGAATTTGGGCTAGCACTCTCGTTTTTATTTGGTAATTAGTGTTCAATTATAGACTAATTAGGATCAAAATGTTCGTATCGTAATTTTCCATCAAACTGTGTAATTAGTTTTTTTTCGTCTACATTTAATACTCCATGCACGTACCGTAAGATTCAACGTGATAGATACTGTAACACTTTATAGGGACGCAGAGGGAACTAAACACGGACCGGACACTGTAGCACTTTATAGGAATTTCCCACGCTCTTTTTTTTTCCCTGTATGTACTCCTATGTACTGGGCCGGACACAGACAAATCATTTTTGGTCCTTGCGGTGGGCCCCTGGGTGCTGCGGGTGGGGCCTGCGTCGTCAGGGTTCCTGGCGTGGGAAGAGGCGTGCGTGGGTTTTGAAAAATTTCAGCTCATGTTGACACGTGACACCGCTGTGTCACAGTCACTACACTGGCGTGCCTACAGTACTCTACGTACCATACCAGCTTCAGGCTCCGGCTACGAGCGTATGTACAGTAGTATTTTTTTTTAGGGGAATATGTACAGTCGTATTGCTGGTGAGTACTCGTACATAGGCGCACCCGAGGTGGTGCTCATCTCATCTCATCATTGCTCCTGAAACTAGGGGAGAGAGCGAGGAACAGCTAGTACAATCGTGGCTTGCGAAAACAACAGCGGGCATGAACGAGGGCTAGGCCTGTTAGTTCCTAAAATTTTTCACCTTAGAATGTCACGTTGAATCTTACGGCATATGTACGAAGTACTAAATATAGATAAAAAAACTAATTACACAGTTGGGTGAGAAATCGTGAGACGAAACTTTCGAACCTAATTAGTCTATAATTAGACACTAATTGTCAAATACAAACGAAAATGCTACAGTAGCTAAAGCCAAAAAATTTCACCAACTAAACGCGCCCTTACATCCATGTCTTGCAAAAGGATGGACACTGTGTATGTCACCGGAATTCATGACCGCCGTCAGTCTCCCGTCCGTCCTCTCTATCTACTCATAAATCCGACCGCATGGCCCCAGCCGGCCCCGGCCGAGAAGCTAGGCTTTGGAAAACAACACGGCGGCCCCATCAATGTTTTCTTAGAGCAAGTATAATAGCCGACCAAAAGCTGAGGTGAAGGAGAGGGAGGAGAAGAGAGAGAAGAGAAGCAGACTGTAAGTTTACAGCTGGTTTAGACACAAGAACCGAGAAATTTTGTGAGAGAAACAAATGAACCATTGTTGGTGTTTTATAAACCGGGCTAGTAAATTTATATCATTGTCGCCTTTAGGAAAACGATGGTATCATCCAAAAGACACGAGCGTTTATACTGGTTCAGACCGGAGCACTACGTCCAGTCTCAGAGATGATCAAGTGTGTGTTCCTCGTTTGAATGCTTTGAAGTTCTTACAACGAGGGGTGCAAAGAATGGTGGAAGATGCAAGAGAGCTAGAGCTAGGAGATAGGTTGTCAAAAGATAAGCTTCAGTAGCCCTTCTACGGTGTAAAAATGAGTGAATGAGAGTCAGGATCTCAAGAAGGGTGCTCTGGCTGCCCTTATAAAGAGTCCGGGGCTAGGGCATGTACAAAGCAGAAGGTTCTCCTAACCGAAGGGTCATGAGCCTGATGGAGGACCTAGCTAGCTTGGCTTGCAAGCTACGTTGTCTTGTGGTGCACGTCCGGGCGTAGTTGTCGTCATGGTCTTGTGGCCACGTTGCGGCATGGTGTGACGTGGTGCAACTGTGCCAGCTATGGCAGCACTGTAGGCATGGCAGTGGTTCGTCAGCCGTTCTGTGCGGCGTGGTCTTCGCCATCGTCTCCTGGTTTCGTGGGGTGTCGTATAGTAGTTGGTAGCCGCCCTCAGGTCGCCGATCACCGGTTGGCCTGTGGAGTTGATGGCCATGATCCCGAGCGTTGGGGTCGTGGCTCTCGTTGGTCTGGATGGCCACTAAGTCAAGACCCTCATCGTGGATCATATCTCGTAGTGGGTAGAATCGTATGTGCGTCTTGTCGGGCCGTATCCGATTGGTGGGCACCGTACTCGTCGTCACCGCTATGGGCGGTGTTGTCTTGTCTAAGCTACGTGGCACATGGACGACGTCTGACTGGACCGAGGTGACCGTTGTCCCCTCGGTCCTTGCGAGGTCAGTGTGGCGTGCCTACTCTTATCAGAGCGGGCACGTTTGGCTGGGCTTGACCTCTCCTCGTTCCCCCAGGTGTCAGGACGACGGAGAGGTCATGAGTCTCATGCGCGTCGTGCGGCTAGGACAGAAGGTGGGGTCACGACCGACCCTCGCCTGGGCGTCAAGCCTGTTCTGCTTGGCTCAGCTGGGCCTCAGTCGTTCGGGCCTTCACTAACTGTCGTGTCGTGGGCCGCTTGGCCTACTAACTAATCGATGCCTTGAGACACCTGGGGATTATAATCCCAACAACCATATATTAATAGTGAAGAGTTAACTATTATATGGGTGAGCTAAGAAAAGGCTGCAATGATCCGACCAGCCGACTAGCCACTACCCTAGACATTTTTTCCCGTGACAGCCATAACTGTCAGAGAAAACGATGAAAACCGTTAGGGAAGACTGTGGCAGAACCGCCTAATCTAATGCCTCTAAGGAGTACTTGTCTTCCATTGGACACTAAGTATTCAAAAGAGGACACTAAACTACGTAGTTCCGTCGAGCACACCCTAAGGGAGAACTCGAAAATCCACATTTTTTATCAGGATCATAAATGAGAAAAATAAAGCTTACAACATTCTTAAGTCATTTCTTACATCACTTTATTACAGTTCCATAATATTACCTCAATTTATTATAACAGCAGAATATAACAATGTTATCAGAGTTATAGGGGAAGCATGATTAATTTAATGACATGATGGAGTATTAACATAGCAGACATTTATATACAATAGATATTAACAGATTTTACATCTTTTCTTATAAAAACCTTTCGTGAGGGTTATAAATAAACACTACGGTCGTAGCGCGAAAGGATTCCTCTCTGAGCCCCACCAGGAGGTTCCACACACAAGGGTCAGCTCTAAGTATCCTCCAATCACCTGTAATAGGGGGAATAAAATCATGAGTACTCAATTGTACTCAGCAAGACTTATCCGACAGGGGGAAAATAAAAAGACTCCAAGGATATGCAAAGCTTATTTGGCTTGTGGGTTATTGCATCTGCAGGAAGCATTATTAAACGTGCGTCCTTATATTCAATTTCATTAGCAATCATCAATAGTTCATTAACTAACCATTCTATGTAAGCACATATGCTACTTTCAAGCATGTGGTAAGCAATCAGAACCATTTTACCATCTTTCAAGTTGCAATTCTTACTACAGTGCTAGACCATAGCCAAGTCGTACCGTATCACATGGCAATTCATGAACCGATGTATCCCAGTTGGGTAACTCGGAACATACGGACTCAGTGTGGTGCTTAGACCTCCACCATCCCCACCTCCAATTCATCGATCCAGATAGAGCCGAAACCCACGACAAGAGAGCAACGAGCCTTCCTGCTCCCATAAGCAAGTATGTGTTCAGGATAATAAGTCTGTGACCTAACTACCATCCATAGCAATGGACGGTCATCAATCGACATTGGCGGAACAAGTGCAATCTGAGCCTTACTCGAATGCCTACCCAAGTCTAGATCCAAAGTACCATTCCGTCTGGTCTCTAATTATCATCCATATACATTCCATGTGATAGTAATATAGTAACAATAATATCTTTCCTATGTCTCGCAAGTGACAGGTAATCACTCGACTTCTACCGGATGCTATAGCATAGCAATCTATACGATACTTACATACTAGTAGGACTCATAGGATAAGGATATAGATATATATGCAAGTGGTTTTCATTCGGCACCTTAAAACTTAATGCACAAGCATAAGATAAAGTGCAGAAGAATAGGGATTATGCACCGGGGCTTGTCTAGGTAAGATATAACAAAAAAGTAGCATTCCATCATGGTGACACGATCATCAAGGCACCATCTTTTCCGCTACCTCGGTCGACTCCATGATACATCGTTGTTCCTATTATGATATACATGGATGCAACGTAGAGACGCAATTAATCAACGGTAACTGCAACTCTTAAAAATACGATTACGCTCCGCAAGTTAACGAGCTAGCTTAAATGACTAACGTACTAGTCTACGTATTCACTTTGTCGAATAAGGCCTTGTTTCCTGAAAAATGTTCTAGTTTTAAAATCCCAAGGTGTCTCAGCATTTTATTGCTTAAACATATATTTTCAAACTAGGGCTCATTTAGTTACCTTAGCAAACTAATTATTATGGAGCTACAAAAATTACAGTGAACACCTAATAATGTTAGAAATTTACTGTGAATGTTTCAGAGCCAACACTATCACCAATTAATCACAATAATTCCTACAAGTTTATATTTTGACAATATTAAGTATCTCAATTTAATTATATAACTCCTAAAAATATTATAAAACTATGTGATCAAAATATACTAGCAGATAGATCA